TTAATATGCGCATAATTGAATTGAATATTTACCAATATACAGTACTTTCCTTGACGTTTATAGTGAGATCAATTACGTTTCTATTTAATTTTAATATNATGCGCATAATTGAATTGAATATTTACCAATATACAGTACTTTCCTTGACGTTTATAGTGAGATCAATTACGTTTCTATTTAATTTTAATATTTTTTTTCCCTCAGTGTAGGTTCACTCTAACATAAAGCACGCATGCAATTTATTATTCAGATATGAAGTTAGTGTTATAGCCTAAAAACACATATCTGAATAATCAGTTGTATTGGAGCTATATGTTAAAGTGAACCCATTTCGATAATTTTAAGGAATAATTAAGGTAATATTAAAAACCCCTTATGTGCAAAATTTTACTGAAATAACTTAAAAAAATTGGGAAATATTTATAAAATAGTTAAAATTTAATCAAACTTTCAATAAACATATGCTCATATTTCATACAAAAAATCTTTGCGCATTTCCATTTCACCACTCATTACTTCGTATTTATCCATCGATTTTCTTCATCAGTAACTTGATTTTTTTTTTGTAACAGAACTGGCTTTAGTACAAATGCAAAATTTTGGCACAGAACTGGTTTCTTTTTACATTTTGGTTGTTTGTGTTTCCGACAGGGTAGGAGTATGATGTATTGTGGAACGATTTTCCGTCATCCCTTGTCAAATTTGGTTTGGAGACAAACCGGTTTCGGCGTTGTGCCATTTTCAGTGTCATTTTTCGGTTTCTTTTTTCTTCTGTTAAAGTTTGTTATTTTTTAATTTTTTCTTTAAAAAATAAAAAAACTGAAATACTTAATTAATTTGTCAGAAACAATAAGCCCTATCGGAAAATGATGTATATACGGTTTATGGAGAATTTCATTGGCTTTCATTTGCCGTATTTTATATTATGATTTTTAAATTGTTTCGTAAGATATACGTCATTAAAAGGAACCAATTTTTGATTTAAACTTAATAACGGCAAATATCTCGAAAAAGTATCCATAGAAAAAAAATTAACCCGAATTTCGGAATCACCGAGCAATTCTACATCGAAATTGGATAGTGGCGTCTGGAGAACAAAAACCAAATTAAAATTTGTAGTCCAGTGTTTTCAGTGTATACCAGTGATGAAATTGATGGTACAATTGTACTTTTTTGGTACATTTTGAATCCCAAAAGTACATTGGTACTACATCGACATTTTTGATACAATTTTGTCAAAACCCGGCGCTACGCCAAATTTTCTCGCAATACATTGAAATTGGAAGTAAATACGTGGTGTTTCTTCAAAACGAAAGTGTTGCTAAAATCAAGGAACAGTTGCAAAATTTTTTTTTGTGAAACTTCGATTGCATTAAATGTAACTGTTTTTTTTTGTAAAGTTTTTGTGTTACATGCACTTAATAAAGTACTTGTACGATTTTTTTGATTACCTTGATACTTTTGTTTCTATTGGAAACTTAGAGTACAACTCCACAAAACATACGTATGCTGTTATATGAGAAGAGGAGGGGGAAGACATGGGAAAGTTGGAAAGGGTGAGAGGGAAGGAACAGGACGATGACATATATGGCGTCTTGTAGGAAAAACGCTCGGTGCTCACCACGAAGCTCCTCAAGCGAATGATATCTATTCTCATCGGGAGTGTGGAAGAAATGCGATCCGAGGTGCTTGAACCTTAGCTATGCAAAGGCAGGACTGCAGAGCATCAGGTGTTGAGATAATTCCATACCACTATTCACCATGCAGCTGGTGCAGTAAGGGTCATCGATGATATTCAGCCTTACTGCGTGCTTACCTATAACGCAATGGCCAGTTAGAACGCTCACAAGAAGTGAGTAGTGTAACTTGCTTAGTCTCACGAGCTCCCTGTTACGCCCCTGGTCTACACGTGGTCAGAAGGACTTAGCCACCTTGCATCCAAAAGGTCTTTGCCCAGCGCACGCTGAGCTGACTAAACGTCCATCTGTCCAGAAGGAGACCGCATGAGATCAGCGGAGCACCCAGACCTTGAGCAATTTCTCAAGCAAGCTCATCGGCTACGCAGCTACCCATGATTTCGCTATGACCCGGAACCCAAATGAGCTTAATAGCGTAGTTATCCAATGTGGTCGATAGGGAAGTACAGTCCTCACCGTTTTCTAACGAACCAACAAGGATCCAAGAGCTGCTTGGCTGTCGAAATAGATATTCGCCTACATAAAATTGGTTACACTAGAGAGCAAACAATCCGAAGCCTCCTGTACTGCAGCTACCTCTGCTTGGAAAACGCTACAGTGATCCGGTTGCCTGAATTTCTGATTGATGGAGAGTTTTTTCTGTTTACATTTTTGAATATAAACGAAAATTCGCGCAGCTGTTCGGTAGCTTGAAAATTGCTGCAAACTATACTGGATATTTTCCTCTTGTGAGATAACAGATGACATTTCACGGAAATTTTGTTGATGGACATGTTTTACTGGAGATGTTAAATGCACGTACCAATAGAGATATTTACCTAATTTAAAAACATATGTGTTCATATGTATGTATGGTATTTTAAATGTTGGTACTTTTTCGGCTGACTTAGTACTTTTTTTTTGCCATTTGGTACAAAATTCAAAAACCTATTTATCATCCCTGGTGTATACGTGTTTATTAAGTTTTTTTTTTGTTTTTAATGTCGTTTCGGCCACAGAAATTTAAATGTTTTCATGTTACTAATTTCAATTTGTTTAAATATTCAAAACAATAGTGTGAGTTGGTTTGTACCTATATTTAAAATGTGTAATTGTCTTTATTTATATTTTTCTTGCTTTACGGTTATGTTTTAATATGTTTTGTATCTCATTGGTTTGTGACAGATACCAAATAAACGAATTGCCCCTGAAGATGCTAAAAAGTACTAGCGAAACGTTGGGCTAGCAAAATGGAATAACTTAGTTTTATTCGCATCTTTAAACTCAGATCAGACGAGGCTATTAGTATATAAATTAAATAAATCAAGAACTGATCGGAATATACATTGATTTCAAATACGATATGGTTTATTTTTTTCTCAGTGTATATAATTTTTATATGCCAATAAAGGAAAATCATTTTTTTTTACTTCTAATCTGTTTAATGAACCACATACATATACATACATAGACCACGTAAAAAACGATTCTGCAATGCCACCGGACTCCACCTCCAATTTTAGTATTTGGTATAGTAATGAGCCTCCATGAATCTCCCCTCTCTACGATAATACTAAGGCGTCGCGCATCGACACGTAAGAATAGGAATAACACGTAAAAAAATGAGTTCTTCTCTTTTAGGTCTAAAGGTCAGGTTTATTTTTATTTTTTTTTATTATAACTTTATTGATGGAAAGTTTGTTTTGAATACTCTTTAGAGATTAAGCTGATTTACAAGCACTCCGTGCCAATGCTTTACAATTACAATGTAAACACAATGTGATTAATTGAAAAACTACCTGTAATATATATATGTTACCTATGCAAAATAATGCGTTAACTAGTATATAAAAAAATCTGAAGATTTGGAAAAGTACCTGAAGGTGTAACAATTTTTCCTTACACTGTTTAATAAAAAAATGTTAATCTGCTCCGCTGCGCTCTATGCGTAACCTCTTAGAATTATCGTTGAGAGGAGAAAATGAAATACTTTTTTTTTTGTTTTGAAGTGGTCTTATAGTATAAATATGTATTAGCGTGGGCCGAAAATCCGCTTTTTAGAATTTTGATTGGTAATGGCAAAAATATGGTTCATTATGCTCTAAAAACAATCTGCGTGAATGATGACAATTTTTGGCTCTCCCAAGTCCATCAAAGTTCAATGTGCTCAAAAAATAAAAATTAATAAATACACTAATTAATAATTTTTTTACTAAACTTTCAACTATCTTCGAAAGTATTAGACCAGTATTTTTGTACCGCAGCGAAATAAGCTAAGAAAAAAAATTTTTATCACCTGAACTATGATGGACTTGGGCGAGCCTAAGATATTGACCAAAAATTGTCATCTTTTACACAGATTGTTTTTAGAGCATAGCGAACTATTTTTGCTATTATCAATCAACATTCTACAAAATCGGATTTTCGGCCTGCGCTAATATGTATGTACGTATGCATGTTCGCATTTTTGATAAAAAGTTTGTGATTATATGACACTTAATTTTTATACATTTAATTTCCGTACGTATTTTATCACATTGTTTATTTGGTTGAATTATATCATAAATAATTAGTTTTAAGAATATATCTTATTTTTTGTAAAAATAGGAATTTCCTACTGACTATGTTATACATTTAAACATTAAGGATTATGAAGCGTGATGACTTATGTACATACTTACATACATCAATACAAATGTATGTACATACATACCGCTACAAATATATTGCCTACTTTCTTCAAAAGTTTATTAAATCGAAATTCTCTTTTGTGAGAAAACGTAAAAACTATCAGAACTCTCATGCTAAACATAAGGGGAAGGGGGGCCTTGCTGCGGTTTGTGCTTCACAGTTTTTGCTTTACGCAAAGATATAATCGGCGAAGACTTTTTAAAGCATACTATCAAAAATTATACGTATATACATAGATACAATATATCGACTTCATATACATACATATGCGATATGAATGCACATACATGTGTCTGCATGTTTCGACAAGTGATTTTTTGGTTGGCATTCTACTTATTTTAAATAAAGATTCGTAAAACTTGCTTAATTAACTAGCCGTTCATTTTCTCTAAATATGTATTCGTAATTTTCAATTAACAGTTTAGTTAATGTATTCATTCGACCAATGTCAACAAATATCATTTGGTTAGATGAAAATATGCACGGGCCCCAAACAATCGCCAGATTCGACGCAGGCATTCGATTTTCCCCACTAAAAGCAGCGACACTGATTTCAAGAAGAACTTGTTATTATTATTATTTTTTTTAAGTGAGACAATAATTTGGTTCAACTTACTTTTTCAAGTGTCGTATAAGAAACTTCAATGTTGCGCGGTTGGGGTCTGGAATCTTTTCAAGAATATCTCGTATTATCTCAATACCAGCAACATCAGATACATTGCGTCCAATTTGGTCGTATATATGCTGAGGAATCAGAGGTTTGCTCAGTTCACGGAAAAATTGCTTTAATAAACTGGTGATAGTATGTATGTCATCAGCGACTAAAAGTTTTGAGTCATAAATATAGCTTTCGGAAAGTTTTTTCTTTAGGTCATCTATAGCCAATTTGTTGCCGGATGCTCGGTATAATCCATCTTGTAATATACAGTCTTTCCGTTCGATGTAAGACACACAGTCCACAACAAAACGCGGCACATTCGGGTGTATTGATTCATTCATCTCTAATTCCTCAAGTGAAGCACCGAATATTGGAAACACCGGCGGAATTCCTCCTTCCAAGTACAAACTTTCCGTTTTTACTGGACGAAAGATGCCATTTTGTTTTTTTTCGCCCTTTGGCGAACGCATATTCCTGGAGCGAAATGAATAATATAAAAAATAATTAAAATGATTAACTGTACAAATATGTTTGTATATATAGTATATGTAAACACAAAATAATCAATTTAAAAGTCGAGGTTTGGCGGAAACCGAACTTTGTATTTTAACATAAGTGAGACCGGCCGAGATTACTTGCTATAATCTTAATAAATCAATTTTTGACATTTAAAATAAAAGGTTGCCATTGTTGTAGTGCTTTGGTATTTTTCAACGCCAACCTAAGTACATTCGGAAAAAGAACGATTTGGAAAAAACCAACGGAAGAGATACATATTTAAGTCGCGTTCCAGATGCTCCCGATATTCATGATATTCACGATTTGCAGTTTTTTTTTGCAATAAAGCGTTTCAGGTGCAAAAAAACCTGCAAGTCAAACCACCTTTGTGAGAGTAACTTGTTGCTCTCTCTCTCAGTTAGAAGTTGCAGATTTTAGTCCGAAGTTTTTCTTCCTGCAAGTTCATGAAAAGTGTTAAACGATAGGCAAGGCTGCATTTGTAAACAAAAACAGAACCTTAAGCGCCACGGAGACAATCAAATAAATACGTCAAGCATTGTATATGTGTGAGGTCTAGCCCGCAAACGTTCAAATAAATTTCTCAATTCAACAAACAATTTCTTTTTCTTGACCACGCACTTGATCACCACGACGATCAAAAGGCAAGTGCGCGTGTTTTTTGTCAAGCATAAAGATAGTTGATCGTCTCCATGGCGCTTTACATATAAAAAAAAATGGAAATAGTTACAGGAAAAGTGGTTTTTCGCGATCCAGGTGACTTTTCAGTTTAGTGAAAACTAGCCTTTACACACTATTCGTTTGACATTGCACCCGTAAAATCATAAACTCGCCGATACTTTGCAAAATTTGCATTTTTCTTTTCCACTTCTTCTATTAAGTTTTCCTCCATTATTTTTTACATTTTTTCCATAAATATTAAGGTTTTCACAAACTGGAAAAATTTACGTTCAAACATGTAAACAAAACACTGAATAGTTAGTTGTCACTTGACGAAAACGCACAAGCAAAGATGAGAGTTGAGCGGCACCGTCGCCGACAGCATGCTCATGTAACTTACTTCATACAAATACTGCCGGTGACGGTGGCTCAACGGACGTTATGTACTTTCACTTTCACCCCTATTGCGAATGTCGACTGGCAGTAGATAAACGACTATTAAGCGATTATCGATTATCGATGCTATTGTGAGTGTCGCTTGGTCGCTCAATTAGCGACTGTGAATCCTTTTTAATCGCTCATCCTTCTATTGCTGTTTTTTTTTTTCGTTGGAGTTTGCGTTTATAAAATTTACATAAGAAAGTGGTGCTATAATGAATAAAAAGTAAGTCAATTGAACTGGAAGTTGTAAGAAATTGTGAAATATATGTACATATGTATGTATGTGTCTCAATTACAGATCAAAAATTGTAAGCAACAAAAGCCAACTAGCGCCAACCGCGCGTCGAGCTGAGGCAGGAGAATGAGGCCGGAAGCTCCGCTTCTATTGTGAAAGATATACAATATTTCTTGTGCATATAACTCTGGCTACGCCTTAGTGTTTTTGCGCAGAACCAACATCAAAGCTTACAAAAAACTGCATAATTTATTAATTAACTAGTGCTTGGAAATTTGAAATCTTTATTTTAAAGTAAATTTTAATTCTTTCACTACACTTTTATGTTAAAGTTTTTAAGCTCGGGTCACGCGTTTGGACACGAATACCCAACATCATTGTACAAATAACTAAACCGTACCTTATTTCTTAAGCTTCCATAAAGTTTATTAATGACGAAAACAGCTTTTCCTGCAAATCCTGTAAAACCTACAAACCGTGAAGCATCTGGAACGCAACTTATATTCATAAAATTCACATATGTACACACACTTCATCTTCCAACTCCAAGGGATCCGACGAATCTCGCAATTCCCTCCTTGCTTTAGCCAACTCTACTAATCTATTAGCTTCCACATCATCTTCCTCATCACTGAACCATATTTCAACTGTATCCATTTTTTAAATTTTATAATAAAAGCCATTATTTTAAAAATGATGTAAATGAGACACTAAAGAAACAAATGTAAACAAGCAAACAGCTGTTTACAACTCAGTCAACCATTCACAATAGTACAAATTTTTATCGATCAAGTTACACAATAGCAAAATATGAGATGGTCGACTCGATCGACAAATTTCTATTCTACTGCCAGTCGATACTCGCAATAGGGGCCTTTAAGTCCCAAAATTTTCAGGTCAAAATTTCAGTAGATTGCGTCTGTATGACTTTTTCAAATTTATAAATAATCATTATTATTAAGTGGAACAATGAAACTCAAAAATAATGATTATGTCTGAGCAAAAAAGTAAAAACCATAAAATAATGATTATTTGCGATCGAAAAAAATTAAAATCAAAAAATGATTTTTTCCGTTGAGTAAAAATATAAAAATTATAAAGTAATGATTAAATGTTGACTTAAATTATTTTACTCATAATGATTACAGTCCTTGTTAAAAATAACATAAATGTATATGTCAACTGAACTAAGTGAACTATATGAACTAAAGAACTAGTTCTCTAAGGTGAACGAACTACAACTGTACGGTTCACTCAAAAGAACTAAAGTGCCCAACTCTACTTTGAACTGCCAAATGCAAAACCAAAGCGCAGTTAATTGCTTTCCTCACAGATATCGGCTATGGTATGATGCTACTGGTAGCTGCTGACGCAGTAGCGGACAATTGAAATCTCGTAGGACACCGCCATGTTAAAAATACCAGTCGCTAGCATTGAAAAAGGAAGGAAAGGAAAACGTGAACTAATTGGGCTACTCTTACCGTGTGCATAGGGTAGTTTTCAAAAATATGAAAGAAGTGTATTTCATACGCGCACCGGGTTTACATAAAAATATAAAATTAAGTTGAGATGGAAAAAAAAGTTATTTTTCAAAATGGAAAAGTTGTGGGAGCAAATAAAAACCATGATAAGTATAAATGATAGTTTAATCATTTCTCGAACCTAATTCAAATGATTTTGTAAAACTTGTTGATGCATACTTACAGCTTGAAGACGCCTCGTTGCACTATAAGAGAAACATAAAAAATTAAATAGTTAGTAAAAGGTATGATTAGATACTGTAGATGGGTAAAATTTCTACACAAATAAATATCATCAATTTAATAAAGGCTCTGTTAGATTAGCAGAAGCCAAAGGTTTGAAAATGCCAAATTCTTCTGTCATACATATACAAACATACATACATATGTATGTACATATGTATGTACAGTGTACACTCACTTAAGAAACTGCCATTAGCTCCATACGAAAAACTGAACTATGCAAAATGATAATTAAAACAAGATATTTAGCTAATATAAATGAACCGTCCTAATGTGGACGATTTTTTTACAACCCGATTAGTTACATATGTCTTTATGTACAGTGACTCAAACAACAACTCACAAGGTGATTTCTCTTTAAAATATTCACAATAAAATTGCATGGGCTATAAAACTACGTATCCAAAAATTTTATAAAAACTCAGATTAAAAACTTTTCGATTTTAACAGGTAAATTTTTTGGTGTAATTTTGCTCTTTCCACTTCGATTAGCAACCAGAGGGCAAAAGGAAAAGCCCTACTAAAAATATCAAAATAATTTTTCCCGCAGTTCAAATTTTTTAAGTTATAATGTTCTTCTAACAAACGAGATATTTATGTACATATCGCCCCCTAAATCAAAAACAGTCACAACTCAAAAAATACCAAACAATCTTAATACTATACTTCCAGTTAGAGAAGATAGTGGTGAAGAAGGAATTTTTGCAGAAATTAGAAATATGGTCTGTGAACTGTTTTGGGAGAGAAAAAACAATTTTGAAAACATCGAGTTATGACTGTTTTTGATTTAGGGTGCGATATGTAGATATGTACATGTTGCTTCGTGAAACATTAACAGGAATGCATACAAATATACATACATATGTACATACACTCGTGGTCAGCTGATTATGTTGCNATGTTGCTTCGTGAAACATTAACAGGAATGCATACAAATATACATACATACATACACTCGTGGTCAGCTGATTATTAAGTGGTGGTTTGAGCAAAAAATTTGGTCTTTCCCCTACTAAAAATTAGTGGGCTATAAAACTGCATACCTAAAATTTTTAATAAAAAGTTTAAAATGTTAAAGTTTGTTTAACTTTTATGAATTTCGTACGAAGTTTGGAATGTGGATTTTTGTGGTGCTGATTATGCAAATGGCTAACCTTTACTAAACAAATCATGAACATTAAATAGACAAAAGAAAAATAGCCAAAACTGGTCTAGATGTCACTTAACTTAATCAGCTGACCGCAAGGGTATGTACAAAAGGGTGGTCCAAATAAGTAAAGTCGGAACTTTAATGCTCTCACCCTCTAGGATTGTTCTATATTAAAAGAAAATTAGACTAATATTTCTTTATTTGGAAATTTACAAATATTTACAGGTCGCTCAAAGCGTTCAAAGTTTTCCATGGGGAAAACCAACTTTTCGGGAAAAACCACTTTTCGTAGAAATTGTCTCTTCAGAAGACTCCAATAACAATACGTAATTAATTATTTAATCATTTTTTAATACTAAAGATTTTTTATTTATCCCCCGTTGCATTTTCTGACATTTTCTGGGGGTTTCGGCGGACCTATAAGGTATCGTTACTATGAAAAAATTATTAAATAAATAATTGGTTATTATTATTATTGGTAATCTCCAGAAGAAAAATAAATCTAATAAATTTTGAAAATATTGATTTTCAAGAATTCTATACCATTTCGACGAAAAGTTGTGTTTTCCCCTATAAAACACATGGAAAGCTTTGAGCGCTTTGAGCGACCTCTAAATATTTTTTGGATTTCAAAATAAAAAAAAATAGGGCATATTTTTTAGTATGGAACAAACCTAGGGGTGGAAGCATAAAAATTTCGACTTAACGTGCATTTTTGGACCACCCTAATGTAAAATCATACATACGTTTATATGGGAGTCATACTGGATACTTACACTTGTTACGCATTCGTTCAGTAATAGATATCTTGTCATCTTCAGTGGGTATCTCCAAAAGATTACCAAATGATGCGCTTTTGAAACGTTGTAGAGTAG